AGTCCATTTTCCTAATGGAAATATGATGTAATCCCAGTTGTCAGATGCATCTAGATATTTGAGTTTGCACAGAAGAAGAAAGTATCCCAGGGGAAAGCAATGACCTTGATGCCTGCAATGTGGCATTTCTAGCTGTCCCTGAATCTACCCTTGTTCACATGTTTGAGGACTATACAGTATTCCCTGCAGAGTTTGTGCTGTTGTAAGGCAAAAGCTTTGTATTAAATCATAATGTGGACAGAAGTAAGCCTTCATTTCTATACTGTGACTAAACAGCATTTACTGTAGTAGTTTTTTTTTACATTTGACTGCAAAAACAGTGATGTTTCAAGCACTATGAGATGGCATTCTGGTACTGATTTATATTTTAGATTTTTTATTTATAAGAAGAAACAATTAAAACAATATATATTTATTTTTCAAAATAAATATAATTTATTTGCACAGCTAATGCCTCTTTTCAGATGAATTATTACTTTATTAAGTGAAAATTGTAACAATTTTAACAATATTTTACCATAAAATATGTATTGCTTTGCTCTTTTTTTATTTATTTTTCTCTATTTTTTACAATTTTGCAATGAATTTACTTGTCTTAAAATATATCTATTTTACTGTATATGGTAGGGTAACTTAACAAATGAACAAGTATTTACTGTATGCTGGATGCATTTTTACATTTATTTTTCCAGAAAAATGGCCAACTTATTTTTTTTAACTATTAATCGTGTCTTTTTAGCATTTCTATAATTTCTTATATTTTTCCACATTTTTATGGAATGAACTGTTAGTTGCTATTTCATTAGTGCTGTAATGAAGAAACAGCTTTAACTTATGCGTGTAGCGTATGCTGCAGTCTATCTGCAAATTATTATAGAATCTAGATCCCCAAAGAACCTTGGGAATTCAGCTTTTTGACTGACTTCCAGGACACTGTATTTCTGGACATACAGTAGAGGTGGTTTCACAACCAAGACCCTTCATTGAGGACACCCTACTTTACATATGTATATATTTTTAAAGGGGTCATATGATGCTATTTTAAAGATAATTATTTTGTGTATTTGGTGTAACAGAATATGTTGACATGCTTTAATGTTCAAAAAACACATTATTTTTCAAATACTGTACATTATTGTAGGTCCTCTATGCCCCGCCTCTCTCAAACGCTTCGTTTTCTACAAAGCCCCCTCCTTTGACAAGCGCAGTCTGCTCTGATTGGCCAGCTGACCCAGTGCATTGTGATTGGCCGAACACTGCAAGCACGCGTCGGAAAAAAACCATAAAGTGTTTTTATGGTTTGATGTTAATGCATACTTCCGTGTCCTCTGGAAAAGAAATCTATGCATCTCCCAATGTATATAAAAGATTATTATAGAGCATAGGGTGGTGCTGAGAGGAAATGTCTTGCTTCTAAACATGTATGTGTCTTAGAGATCTGCTCAAATGAGGTGAAAAAATCCAGGGGAGTGGTTAAAACTGCTGAGATCAAGGTTAAAGACAAGACTGCCGGTAATAATCATGTAAATACTTGTCATGAATTTATGGCTGAAACAATCCTATTTTGATGTGGAGAGATTTAAAATGATTTGTTAACTCTAGTCGTTGGAAGTTGTTGCTGTTTTTGTAGTTACCTATAATAACGCATTTAAAATTCCTGATCATTGGGAGCTTGTATAAATTATTAATCTTGCTGGTATAGGTCACATGGCTAAACTCTTTAGTAATTCATTTATTTCTTTGCTTCCCTGCTGTGTTTATTGACCATAGGCCACAAAAAAGCCCAAGAGCAGCGGGCCAGATTAGCATGACTGTTGATTTGATGATCAGATGTTGACATATTAGATTTTAGAGATTTTCCTGACTAAATTAAATAATGGAATCAGGAAACAAGGCGCATAATCAACAATCACAACAAAGCAAGTGGGTTCTTTGTATAATTATTACAGCTATTCAAATGACATTTAAGCATTAAAATGAAACAAAAATTATTAGGATATTAAGATACACTTTATTCAGTAACATGCATTTGTTTTGTTTTATCTGCTCTTTCACTCCTATAGCTGATCCACCGTAAATCAAAGAAGAAAAAAAGGTTAAAATGAAATGTGAAAATTTCAGTAGTGAACTGAAGGAGTATTTCTTGTAAAGCGACATGTTATCTAATTTAAGTATGCATGTACATTTTACAAAACATCTATAATAGTAAGATTCTTTTATTGGTGGATGTAAATATTAGAAAAAAAGGTTAAAATTAAATGTGAAAATTTCAGTAGTGAACTGAAGGAGTATTTCTTGTAAAGCGACATGTTAACTAATTTAAGTATGCATGTACATTTTACAAAACATCTATAATAGTAAGATTCTTTTATTGGTGGATGTAAATATTTCATATCATGAACAATATTCATTCTCTCAGTATATAATTATTTTTAATAATAGATTTTGCATAATTATCTCATCATATGCTTCTTGGTAGATCCAGTTGAAGCAGAACATTATTGATTGCTCTTGTTCTCTTTTGATGTCTATGGACTTTTCCTGAGTTTATTTTATTAAAGTAGAAAGAGTAAATTAAAGAGGTGAGTGTTTTGTCAGATGAGTCATTTTTTACTCAGAATAATTTGTTTCACCGAGTAGAAAAGCAGGCATGTTGTAGATGTACGTTGTGAACTACAGGGGGCGATGTGTGCCAGAGTTTTATACTCAAGAGAGTCCTGATTAATTAACAGCAACACCATCAGTTCATTTCCATGTAATTACTTGAAAAGACCTGATTGGTTGTGGTTTTCTTATTATTTCAGTAGCTGTAGTGGTATCAAGGGAAATATGAACCTATAACAGAATTAGAAATGCAACACAACCTTCAAAAAATTGCATGTTTAATGATACATAAATCTCTATGGAAATATGTCTCATTTTATTTTGTTTGTCCAGGGACATAATGTATTTTGTTGGAGCAATGATGAATGAATTTAAAACTGTAATATTTAAAAGATGCACAGGTTCAGATTTTGCTATTCTGGTTATAGCTGCAATTTATATACTTTTGTCTCAGTGACCAGTTGGTGTTTTATAGCTTCTCCACATTCTTGGGCATGTAATTACAAAAGCAGAGGTATTGATACTCCTGGTAAAGAATGGTCTGGTTCAATACTATCATGTCAAGCTCTCATTTTTCATGTTTCATCATTCACATCTGCCATAAACTGGTGGTTTCAGAGATTTAGGGACCTGGGGCATTTACTGGATGTTTTGTGTGTGTGTGTGTGTGTGTGTGTGTGTGTACATGTGTCCTGGTCTGGACAGGAAGTGTTATGCCATTATGGTATACATATTTGCATTGCATTATACTGGTAAATTCTTTTAGCTCCTTTTACTTATACATTTTTCATTAAATAATGCTGAAAAATGTTACTGTAAAAGATAAAGATGAACTTTATTCTAATTTCTCAATTTTAAAGTTCAGGAACACCAGTAATGCTTCTCAGTTAGCTTTTTAACTCAAATAGGCCTTAGGCCTACATTAGAAAAAATGGTTTGTGGTTTGGTTCCATTTATCATTTTCGCAGTGTGCACTAGAACATGAATAATTAATATGGTTGCAATTGTTTGCACCTTTGAGATGGGTGTCATATTTAGTATTGTGTTGTTAGGATGCATTTGTTCTTCTACTCTAAATGCTCAGTTAGTTGTTGTTTACAATTGTGTTTCATATGTTTGTGTTTGGCATTTTAAGGTATTTAATACATGTTTTTCTCAATGTATCAAATGTTGTCACTAGTTTAGGACAGCAAGCACTTTCTCACAGATAAAACACACAATATTAATATCAATTTACATCACAGATGTTTTTATCCAAAGCTACATATAATTTATATTCAAAGTACACGTTTTATCAGTTCTAGCTTTCCCTGGAAATTGAACCCATGACCTTGGCATTGCTAGTGCCATGCTCTACTGTTTTATTTTATTTAACTATTTTTTATTAAACTATAAATTTGACTACTACTAATAATAAATTATTTATAATATAATGAACAATATAAACAAAGGAAACTACGGAGCCCCTAAAGGGACATGGTGGTGGAAAAAAATCAGATTGAGTGAAAAAATTTGGGGTGGGAGAAAAAAATATTTGTCAAATTTTTTTTTCGTTCTCTCGCAAAACTTTTGCGTTCCCTCGAGAAACTTTGCGTTCCCTCGCAAAACTTTTGCGAATAATAAATTATTTATAATATAATGAACAATATAAACAAAGGAAACTACGGAGCCCCTAAAGGGACATGGTGGTGGAAAAAAATCAGATTGAGTGAAAAAATTTGGGGTGGGAGAAAAAAATATTTGTCAGATTTTTTGCGTTCTCTCGCAAAACTTTTGCGTTCCCTCAAAGATATTTGCGTTCCCTCGCAAAACTTTTGCGTTCTCTCGTTCTCTCTTTTGCGTTCTCTCTTGCGAGAACGCAAAAAAAAATTTCCTCCCACCCCAAATTTTTTTCCCACCATCATGTCCCTTTAGGGGCTCCGTAGGAAACAGTTTTTTAACTTACTCTTAAGAAATCTAAAATTCACTCAAGTAAATTAAATTTAAAAAGGCATATTTTCATCTTATTTTAATTTTGCAAATGTCACATTTTTTACAGTGTATGTGAACTAATGCATGAATTGTGAAATGAATTGTTGAGTCTATATGTGAACATGGATGAAAGAAAGAGATGAAATAGAAAGAGGTGAGATCCAAGATGGTCAAAAATAGAAATGGCAAGGAAAATAAGCAGAAAACAGTGGTCAAGGAGTGGAATGCTGTCAGCACCCTGCAGACCCCTTCTCCTCCTCCTTTAACGGTCAAAAGAAGAGAGCACTTGTCCTTTCTTACTGGAGCTCCTCTCAGCCAATCAGAAGACGGACTCACTGCTTTGTCATCAGCTTGTGATTGAGGAAGGCTCAGTTTTCCTGCTCTGTTTGTGGAAGCTTGATAAAATGCCAGGTCTCTGCAGCCTCTGGGGAGAGCCCCACTTCTCTATGATGTGATCGATCACGCTTCATCCTCATTAATACAATACGCTGGCTTCAGGAGCGAAAGGGGCAACTGCCATCTGCTTGACATTCCTCCTTCGGTGGTCTTTCTGTGGGCAAGTGGATTGTAAGAGAGCCCTGTTAGACGTACTGTCGCTGGAGCTTCCTTATCCCACATTTGCATTTGATTGTTAAGGTGAACCCTTGGGAATATCAGACCTCCATGTACGACAATTTGTACCTGCATGGATTTGAAGACTCCGAGGCGGTGAGTAAGGGTCTATATGTGCATCTTCACGGTCTTTTGAATGAATGCATGCCAACACAAATGCTCTGAGGATGGCTGGAGGAATTCAACTTGTGGATGGTGCTACTGGTCCCAGTGAGTGTTTTGGGGGAGGGGAGAGGATCCGTATGTGTGTGTGCATGTGTATGGGTTTTGTTTCACTGTCACCTCCACTCTTTCTCCAAACCATGCTCTGTTTCTCAGATGCATTGTGGAAGAGGCAGTCGGGGGAGAGCATCAGTCAGCTGTTGTGGTAGCCTGTTATTCCGTATCATTGAGCTGTCACTAATAATGCCACACTGCTTGCTGGTTTAGTTCCTCTTAGCTTGCATGCATTGTTGTTTTTGTCGGATTTTCAGCTGTACTCAAAAGGAATGCTTGCTTAAAGTGCCACTTTGTTTCTGCTTGTAAAAGGAGGGCTCATTTAATTAGCATCATTAGATCAGATATAAACGAGTCTCATGGAAGTAGCAGTAATGTTCAGCACTGATGTCTGTACTGGTTACAGCCACATCAAGGCCAGTCTCCTTATTTAACTGGTCACAAGTTTCATCACTTTACAACAAGAGATGTTCTTGTTGCTCTTTGTGATGCAGCCTTGTTTGTTAACATGTATCACAAACTATCCCCATTCCACTCAGTGTTACCACTGGGAAAAGTCAGAGCTGGAAAATGAATCGATATGATCTTATCATTTTTTGGCCATATGACTTTACTTAACAGAAAAGATATTTTGAAGAACTCTGCAAACCAAACGACATTGGGGCCCACTGACTTCCATTGAAACAAATCTCAAAATATCACTTATATTCCTCAGAAGATCCACCCAAAATTAAAATTCTGTCTTTTTTCTTTTTTCGGAACACAAAAGAAGATATTTTGAAGAATGCTTGGAATCAAATGACATTGGAGCCCATTGACTTACATTGAGTTTTGGAAGAACATGAACAGGAAAAACTCTTTTGTGGGTGATCATCTCTCTACCACTTTTGCACTTTTCATAATAGGAAGTTGGCAGTTCAGAATTGTGAGTTGGTTTGAAGGAAAGACTTTTATTTTCTGTGTATGTTGGTATTATTAATTAGACCTAGGATGTTCTAAGAAAAGGAAGTATTTTTTTTCCATAAACCTTGACCACAAATCATAATTGTGTGGATGTAATGACCAACACCTCCTGTGTTATGTCCATACATTTGTTTGTTTTTGTTCATCATTAATACATTTGTCATAATTGAACGCTTGATTTAGCCTCAGTGAGAAACATAATATATTATATGACTAATTATTATGTATGGGTTAAGTTTAGTTTTGAACAGAAAGGTTAATTTATTTTTATTTAAAATTGTGACATTTAAAAAAGTAAAAATAAAAATTGTGATGAATATGTTGTGTATTTACCATTTACTGTAGGTTTGTCACCTTTAAACCAATCAATGACTGTCTAACAGCCTCACAAAACAATTGAACAGAAAATCTGAATTTGACACGTACCATCATATGTGTTAATAAACAGATCTATCTATCTATCTAGTACAAAGTATCTGTTCTCTGCTACAAAATACTGAGAAGCTGAGGACAATTTAATACCCCCGCAGCAAGTATTTTCTCTGGAATTATATGGTGCAGAAATATCATGGAAATTATGTCGTAAGAATGAAATAATGACAAAGTAGCTCAGATCTGGTGGCCTCTAATGATCTTAATATAGCCTTGTGGTCTGATTGGGTCTGCCTTTCTTTTCTCCTCTTCCCTTACAGCTTATGAATATTAAAAGTAATGGAGGGTTCAAGCTGTTACTATTCATTGCGTGTAATTGTTTTAGTGTATCCTGTTTTTTATATTTATGACATTGATGGTGTCCCACTATTATTAGTCTAATTGTGCAAACTAGATCCACACTGTTATATTTGGAATTGCTTTCTAATAAAAGCAACTGCATACGTTTCAAGCTACCAGTTCAGATTGTTTTTCAGTATAGTTTTAAGGTAAAAGTTTTTGAGAAGAATGGATGATAGTGATTGTTCTTTTAAACTATTTATTTTCAGTGAATTATTAACTAAATTGGACTGAATTAGAGCAGTTAAAGCGATAGTTCACCTCAAAATGAAAATTCATTTTCTATAAATCTAGAACTAGTAATGTCTGTTTCTGCAAGTGATTCTTTGAAGTTTGCAACCAGTTCCCAAAAATCAGACTGAGCAATTCATGAACATGCTGTCTTCAAGGTAACAGTTCAAGGACTCAATTCCAATTTTGGATTGCAACCCACCAGTTGAAAGCAACTGATTTAAAGATCAGTTTAGTCAGATATTAGAAGTACTGACACAAAGCTTTCATCATCATCATCTCTTTTTATGGTTAAGTATTTGCTTTCATCAGATGTGGCCCTAAATGGTAGTGATCTCATGCTGTGTTGTGGAGAGATTTATCTGTAATTACCCACTGCTCTTGCCTGCATTGGTCCTCAGCCCTCATGATTCATCTGCATATCTGCTCACAGGAGGATGCTTTTTCACTGACGGATTTATCTGCTTTTGTTTTCAAAGAAATACAGGGCAAGGATCTGCCAGCGTAGTGGATTTTGAGTGCTCTCAGACTCACTGGCATCACAGGAAAATGTTCATGGCGTGCAATCTCTGAAGATAAGCAGAATGTGTGGCTTGACAAACCCAAGCCCACACACTTGACGTGGTTAGATAAAGGTGTACGTACTGAGGCAGAGTACATGAAAGCTGCATGTGGTTCAGCCATTGTGTGTGTGTGGGTTTACTTGTCTATACTTTAATTTGGGGACAAAATTGTCTCCAGATGTTAGCTTAAATCTTTCTGAAAAAAGGAAGTTCTTAAGTAAATTCTTAAAAAATTCTAATATATAAAAATGTATTCTAATATATTCTAATTTTTTATTTGTATTGTGTGTGTGTGTGTGTGTGTGTGTGTGAATATATATATATATGCATATACAGTAAGGAGTCATATCATGAAAAAAATATATTTTTATGTTTTGTTATAATAACTTAAGTAAACATTGACTTGCAGAACTCAATACTCTCCACAATCCGAAGAGATAATCCATTTTACATCCACCAAGATGTAAAAATGGTGGGATTTTCTCAGGGGAAAAAATAAATATGAAATGGCCCCTTTAAATAAATATAACTGGGGAAGTATTCATATATCAGAATCAGAATCAGAAAGAGCTTTATTGCCAAGTATGTTTGCACATACAAGGAATTTATATTATAGATACATTTCCTTTTCTTTTTCTTATTATGTTTTATTCATGGCTCCTTCTGAAGTTGGAAGGTTAATCGAATTTGCTTTGTGGTAATAAATAAACATCAGTTGGATCATTTATAAAACTGTCTTGCTGCTAAGTAGGTTGTGATAGCCGAGGCACAGAAATAATTTCCGTGGGCATTCATGCTAAACTGAGTGCTTGAGTAAGAAATTCTAATGTGTCTTTGGACATTCTCATATTAAGGTGTTTTTTATCTCCTCCTGAAGCATGTGTATCCGAAATAGCCTGTTTGAAAAAGATTGATTTGTTTCATTCTGATGTATCAAGTTTGAGATCAGTATACATTTTCAGCTTTATTTACTTATAACTACTGTTATGGGAAGTATAATTATAAAAAAATTTCCAAGTTGACCTACAGTCTTCATGTGTCTGAATGAGTAAGTATAAAAGTCTGTATAAGTGCTTAGTGAAGAAGAGCTTCAATTGACTAATGTTAGTCCGACTTCCTAAAAATCAGACAGGTACAGTTGTACATGGAAAAAAAGAAAACTAAAAAACATGTAAAGTGCATGTACTGAATATTTTAATTTGAGTTTTAATTTTAATTTGACTCAGCAGCACACAATTAGGCAAATTTACTCAGTAGTCCTTTCTTGGAAGCTCTCTTATGGGATTGAAGGCAGAGGAATCATGCCTTCAGGAACTGTATGAATTAGAAATGTATTTATGACCCTCTCATCAATGTGTCATGCCAAACATGATATGGCAAATATGGTGACACCTTCGCAATATTCATAGATAATTTTAAATATCAAAAATTGATTTAAAATTTAATTGTCTTTCATATAAAATATTAAAATATTTTCAAAATGAATCATTTATACAAGACTATATCGAGGGGTGAGAACCAAAACGGCGTAAGTGACATTTCACCAACTTTACAGGAGGGCCAAAACCAAAACCAACAGGTTTAGTATGTTCAGAGTTAAGTCTTTTGGTTTCTAATTAATAACTCCAAAATTATTAAGAATTCACTTGTGTCCTTTTGGCAGTAGAAAGAGCTCATCAAGAGCTTTCATTTGATATATATATCTCCATTTCACCCAAAATGTCACTTACGCCCTTCTGGTTCTCACCCCTCGATATGTAAAAAAATTATAACCATTTAACAGTTGAACCATTCATTGCTTGAAAATGAAATATTTGACCTCAGGTTGAAGTGTGCTGGCAGCCTGTGAAAGAGGAACTGTGCTATCATCTGCTGGGGAAATGTTCCCGTCCTGCACCCTGCCATCTCTCTCCATCCAACCATCAGTATCGCTGAGTCAGCAGCAGAGGAAGCAAACCAGCTGGCCACGGGGTGTAATGTGTTCCAAAGTGAAGTGATTGCCTGACTGCAGATTCTGTAAATGCCCAAAATAATTTGGATAGCAACATGGTATCCAAATGGGACCCAAAACAATTTGTATACCAACATTCTTCTAAATATTTTATTTTGTGTTCCACAAAAGAAACAAAGTCATACAGGTTTGGAATGACATAACGACATTACAGGGAGTAAATAGTGACATCATTTTTCTTTTTGAGTGAATTATCCTTTAGAAGCTTTACTTTTTGCTATATTAACTGCATGTTTATATGATCAGTTGCATTATATTTGCATTTAGCATTGTTGTTTTTTTAGATCAGACCCTCGTGACCCACCAGTTGAGATCCACTGAACTTGATAATACAGCAACACATTCATATGTTATGATGGGCCATAATATATGAGTGTTTGTTGACTCATAAAAGTCATTGTGCATCAGCTCAGTTTAAAGATTCAGACTGTTTGTGTTGCAGTATTAAACCGAATAGTTTGATGCTCCAGTGGTCCTAATGAGTGCTGGAGAATGAGAAGATCGAAGGAGGTGAAGCGAGGATGAATCACAGGGGCTTTGATGTCATCAAGAGCAGATGCAGCTCCTGTCACTTGACTCGCATCAGTGCACATTGCCTTATGTAACACTGGTCACATGACTTTCCTGGCCATGGAGGTCCATGGTCTAGTGTGATAGCCAGTAGTGAGGGCATTGTGCTGGCCAGGGTTGTGAGCTTAAAAACTAAAGTGTCTAATGATGTCTAGTCATCAAGTGAACAGAGATGGAGATCTAGAGATACTGATAGCTATGCTAGTCCACTAGGTAGACCAGAACCAATTCTGAGCTGGTCTAAACTGGCCTTTTAGCATTACAGCAATTGCTTCATCCTTAGTTGCTAAGTTACTTTAAAAAAGAATAACACATTTTGTGCACCTTTCATCCACTTCCTTCATCTCCCACAGTGCTAGAGACATCTATCATGGCAAAAGTGACCGTGAATTTGCAGAAGTGATGATATCATACAGTTAGACTAGACACAATGAATATCTCTCTGTACCTTTGAGGAGATACCAGGAATAGAATCAGATTCTCTATGATGAGGCATCTCTGCTGAGACGCGTGTGTGTGTACTACTGTGCTTGTGTGTTGGCATCTGGGTTTCACTGAACTGCCGTGTCTCTAGTCTTTGTTCTTCCTTCAGCCCTTTATCTTTATTTGGGTCCCTTGTTTAAGGTTCTTTGAATTTTTGCCAGTATAGCAGATGAATTGTCTTCTTTAACACACACTTCTTAAAATTTGTGTGCTTAAGTGCGTAATTTCTGTGCTAGCAGCACAAAATGGAATTGCAATCTGTTCAGGGGTTTGGAATTGCAATCTGTTCAACCTGTCTTCTGCAAGACAGGACCAGATCATAGACAGTTTAAGGAAGAGGAGATAGACCAGTCATAAAAAAAATAAACACCTCCATATGGTGGCTGTAGGAATGAACCCTGAACCTTTTATGAGAGAGATTTAGCTGCAGCGTCCTCAAATGTATATATATATATATATATATATATATATTAGTATAATATATTTAAAATAAATGCTTTTCCTTTTGAACTTTCTATTTATAAAAGAATCCTGAAAAAAAATGTATCACTGTTTCTACAAAAATATCAAGCAGCACAACTGTTCTCAACATTAATAAGAATCACCAAACCAGCCTATGAATGATTTTAAAGGATAATGTGACACTGAAGACTACTAAAAATTCAGCTTTGCCATCAATTCTTAAAATATAGTAAAATAGAAAAGATTTATTTTAAATTTTAATAATATTTCACAGTGTTACTGATTTTACAGTTTTAATCAAATAAATGTGGCCTTGGTGAGGATACGAGACATCTTTCAAAACATTTTTAAAAATCTTACGGACCCCAAACTTTTGAAAGGTATACATATTCATGATTTATTTGAGATATATTATTGAAATGTGCAGGTAATTTTAACATACAGTATTGAAGATATCTGTTTTGCTTCATGCCAAAGTCAAGTAATGTACTGTTTTTACTGAGGAATGAATAAAAATAATTTTTTATGACAAGTAATTAACCCGCATATTCTGTAGATTTTAACATTCCTTTAATGGCATGTACAGTAAAAAAAAATAAGGTCTGTATAAAATGCTATATGACTGTATTGCATTGATAAAGAGAATTCTAGTGGATTATAAGATTAGTTGATATGTTCTTATGCGACACAACTACAGGGTTAATGAACCTTCAAGGCGACTGTTAACTTTGAGCACAATCTTTTGATTAGCAGATCAAAGCACATGTTGCTCTTACGTTCATTGCGTCTCTTGCTCTCAATAAAGTACCATTCTGGTTTTAGACCATCTCCTCCATATCTCATCTCACCTCATCCATTTGCCAGTAGTTCCCTGCTATTCAGAGAAAATAAAAGACTATTTATGTCGTATATCTTTAGCTTTGATGTAGTAATTCTCTAAGAATTGTTTTGGAGAAATGAAAATAGACAGAATTGAGAGACAGTTGTTGACTTATACTGTAGATTAATAAGGTTATCATAGCTCATAGCAAGATTATTTTTTCTTGGAAGAATTTAATGAGAAATGTTTTAGTTCATATTTAAATCTTTTGCAGACTTGCATATTTTTGTAAATCTGAGGGCATTTAGTAATATTTTTGATATTACTAGGATATTTTTTTTTCCGAGAAGCATATGCTTGAAGTCTCAAATTGCTCTCCATTTAATCTCATTGCTGTCTAGGTGAAGAAATTGATATTTTAAAGAGATCTCTTTGGGGTTTGTCTTTCCTATGGGACTTTTGATCCATTCGCCCTCTCTCTTTTTCATCCCCTATAATATATTTGACCAAGACATCCATTGTTCTGACTCTGAGGCTGTCAGCTTCAGTCATTTTGTCTTTGATCTGATTCTGTTTCCTTCAATGCTTCCATCAGCCTGTGCATCAATACCTGCACATGTTCAGTCGGCTGCATTTCTCAGCTTTACAAACACTTTGAAGTCAGCATTAAACCTGTTTACTGCACTCTTACCGGACTGGGTTTCATTGATAAGTGTCACATCTGCCTTGTCGCCTGTTTGTGATAATGTATGAAGTGTCTAACAGGAATTTAACTCTGTATTCATAGTTTCAGTTTCCTCAGAATGCAAGCTGGGAAGTGTGCTTCTTCATTGCCTTGACATTTATGTTATGGTGGAATTCTAGTATTTTACCTGTATCATTTATGGTGGACTGTATGGGGACTGTACGTTTTTGGAAGACGTCTCTTATGCTCACCAAGGCAACATTTATTTGATTAAAAATAGAGTAAAACAGTTATATTGTGTTAATAATTTATTCCTGTAGTGGCTGAATGTCACATGAAATAATTCTAATATGCTGATTTGGCACTCAAGAAACATTTCTTATTATTGAAAACAGTTCAAAAGAATATTTATTTGAAATATAAATCTTTTGTGACATTATAAATTTCTTCTACTGTCACTTTTGATCAATTTAATGTGTCCTCACTGAATAAAATTATTAATTTCTTTAAAAAAAAAACTTACTGACCCCAAACTTTTGAACAGTGTATAATTAAAACACTAAATTTAATAATCAGAAATTGTCTTTTTATTCTGTGATTGAAGAAATATAGCAGTGATACACATCTAAATGTCCTTTTATCTTACCCTACATTTAATCTCCCAAGCCCAAAAATCCATTCATGTTTACCACGTTCTCCTTGATAATGTGTCATTTCACTATGACTGCTGCTCCTATTTTAAGGCTTTCTGTGCCATATTAAAGACTTTATAAACTTTCATCTTCATCTTTGTGTGTTTAATATAGCGTAGCTATTACAGCTGTTAGGGTTTAAATTTTTTTTCAAACCTTTAACATGAAAGATTATTAAAAGTATCAGCTTCTGCTTGATGTAATGCAATGAATATTTAAAACAAAACATTTTAATGCACTCTAAATCCATTTACATAAAATAATAAAATTACTATGTGCGTAATACTAATTTGTGTCATTACGGACAAGCACAAGTAAAGGTTATTCCTCCCACACATTCTTTGTGTGGTGTAGCACACATCCACTGTAAATCATACATCAATCTAGATATATTTTAGAATTCTTGGGATTGTTTTACATAATGAGACTATTTAAAGGTGCCTTTGTGTAAATGGCAATAAATTGATAGGTGTTCACAATGTGTGTGCAGGGTTCCGCCGATTCCTACACTAGCAGACCGTCCGACTCAGATGTCTCTCTGGATGAGGAGCAGGGCGGCCGGCAGGAGAAAGAACAGCAAGCCACCATTCAGCTGGAGAGGGCAAAGGTCAGACTGTCTTAGCCAGAGCTACCTGTACTGTACCTATGCCATTTCTTAATTTTTAAAATAGCAAATTGTAGAAACTATTTTAGAGGTATTTAGTTTCTATTATCAAGTTGCTCAAGCACAAATGGTAATTAAAACTAAACTGATTTACTATTCATCAATATGTGCTCAGGCCAAAGCAGTGGCCTTTGCTGTGAAGACAAACGTCAGCTACTGTGGTGCCCTGGATGAGGATGTTCCTGTTGCTGGCACTGCCATTTCCTTTGATGCTAAAGACTTCCTTCATATCAAGGAGGTGAAGAGGGCATTTATTTAATGAGAGCCTGTCTAGCTGTATCCATTTATAAATGGACTTTAAACAAATTCCTTTGTCCTCTGTGTATTTCCACAGAAGTACAACAATGACTGGTGGATTGGGCGACTGGTGAAGGAAGGTTGTGATATCGGTTTCATCCCCAGTCCCTTAAAACTAGAGAACATTCGCTTACAGCAGGAGCAAAAAAGGGGCCGCTTCCATGGGTAAGAGGAGAATATATGAGGAATGAGTGAACACTGAACCTTACAAACAGTTTTGAATGCTACGGTTTAAATTTCAAAAACCAAATTTCAAGATGATTACAAATGCCCTTGTACCTGTCACGATGCACACACACGAGGAACGAGGAGACGCTGGAGAATACTTTACCAAGACTTTATTTTCAGGAACCAAGGGAGACGAACTCAGGAAGACGTTTAACAGCGGACAGAGAACTTGGGACTGGGAACACTATTTATACACACAGGAGGAGGGGATGACGAGACACACCTGGGAGCAATGAAACACTAATCAGGGGAGGAACAGGAAACTAACCAAATAAGGGCATGGGAAGGCACATGGGGAGCAGGACACACACAAAACATGGAACAGAGTCTGACATAACGCCCCCCTCCGGAAGGCGTGTCCTCACGCCATATAACATCCAATGGGGATTGCCTAATCGTTAAATAATTTTTTTTTTGTATAAAAACATGGGCTATATAAAATTTTAATAATAACAAACATCA